AATTTTCAAAGAAACAAGATTTTAGGTCTTTTGTTTGAGAATGAGTGAAAAATACACTTTCAAAAGTTTAAAAGTCAAATTAATTTAATAATTTTTGTTAACGTGTCGCATTAACAATCTAACAGAGGTTAACGGTGATCAAAATGTTATAACCCTAAAATGTAAGTGACTAAAACTAATATTTTTCAGAACTAACCAAAATAAAATAGACCAAAAATAAAAGGGACCATCCTTATAATTTACCCTAAGCCAATATGTAATCCAAATTTAATGCATTGCCCAAAATTTCTATTTCTTAGGACATCATTTTGTGTAGCCTAAGATGTATATAGTAGAATTTTCCTTCATATATGGGTAATGGAGGCGGCTGAAGATGGGAGATATGTTTATGTATTGGAAAAATAATTCGATTCTACTAAAAAAATTAAATTTAGTTTGATATTAAAACTTTGACTCAATTTTTTGAAAATATTTTTTTGATTAATATGGGACAAATACAATACATTATTTGTTCAAAAATAACTATTAACCATTTAACGTTGAATGTTCACACTCCTAATATTTTTGTGCTCGAACTCAAGACTTCAAAAAAATAATAACTATATTTTTATCACTGAGGTCACTTGATTCGTACTACTCAATTTAATTTAACTTGTGATTTTTAAAATAATTATACGGAAACTAAACATATATAATAATAATAATAAATAAATAAATAAATTAAGATAATTAAATTCGAACTAAATATATTTTTGAAAACAAAATAATGTTTTGAGTTAGAATTACATGTTTCTTTAACTTTGATATAGAACTCAAATTAATAATGATTTAAGAATTACTATATTTTTAGATTCAATTTTATATTTTATTCAACTCAATATCTAAAATGCAATCATTTAATGGATGTTTAAATTTTAATTTCATTTTTTAATATTTACGCATAATTATTTCAAGGTTGATTTCATAAATATATTGATACTTTTAAATTTATTTTTTATATTAAATTTATTTGTAAATATATTAATTAATGAATTAATTAATTAACGTAATTCATGTTTAACAAATTTTAAGTATATTTTAAAACATGTCTTAAAATATTATTTTATGTTCAATTATAGTTTACTACTTAAAAATATATTTTTTATATTGATATGAATTTATTAAATTATTCAATTAAATTCTTAAAAATACTTTGTTTTAATTAATTGAATATTTTCACATAGAAATGAATAAAAAAAGAGTAAATAATAAATTTAGTAACTTTATATTAATTTAAATATTTATTAAATTACTCATCATACTTTCAAAATTTTTAATTTACTCACTCAACTTTATATATTAATTTTTTAATCACTCTATCACTCTTAACAGTATATCATTAACAATCCCATTATCTCACTCAACTTTATAGACAAAGAATATTTTAATATTAAATATATCACATCAAATTTTCATATAATAATAATAATTAAAATATCTAAAATACTTAAATCCCTAGCCTAACCCCAATTCACACCCAGCCCCATTTAGCTTCTAGTTTAAGCTGTTCCACGCCATTTTCCGACGATATGCAAAGCAAAAACCTTCCCTTGCCTCGTCCGGACGCCAGTGACAGCAACCGAAAAGCATGCCTTGAAAGCTCGCCGTCGTTGACGAAAGGCTACATAATGGAAAAAAATGAATCACTCGTCATCGGTGAACTCTTCGTCGAAGGCATCGTCGGTGGGAGTCATGAAATAAAAATTAAAGAACTAAGATCTCTAATCACTTTTTTGAGTTTGCATGTAAATCAGATAACCCAAAACATATTTTGATTTTTTATCAATGTCAAATGTTTGATTTTATGCTGCTTTGGTCTTTCATAGCTTGAAAAATGTTGTTGAAAGTTTATCTTTGCCAATCTTTGTCGAAAAGCTCCATGGAAGATTCCGAACCCCCAAAAGCCAGCAACATGGAAGAAGACAAAGAACAGATTTGGAGGAAATAGGTTGAAGAAGGTAAAGGGTTGCAGCCTTGATAATGGAACTTCATTGAAGTTCATGCTTAACCGTGGACAAGTAATCAAAGGCTGGGTGAGAGTATCAAAACGAGGAAAGTACAAAAAATCGACACCGTAAACGAAAAGAAATCGACGACTACGGATCCAAAAATTTAAAAATAAGATTTAAAATAAATATTATAATATTTATTAATAAAAAAATTACATAATTCACAATCCAAAATAACAATTCATTCAAAAAGTATAAAAAGTTACTATTACTATAAAAAAATTATAATTGTTATCGAAGAGTTTTCATTTATTGAAATCGTTTCATGATTATTTCATCGTCGATTTGGAGAAAAACATATCTTTCTATATAAGTAATCAAACAATCATTTAAAAATTGACCACCTATGCTATTTCGCAACCTATTCTTCTCGATGTTCATTTTAGAAAATACACTTTCCAAACTTTTGCTTGCTACGGAGAGAATCAACACCAATTTTATGAGTAAATATACTTGTTGGTATACTTGATGCTTCTTTGTCTCGACTAGCTTCATGGAAAGCTCACCCATATCTTTCAATACACAAAATCTATCATCACTCCGCATATCAACAATAAATTTATCAAGTTGATCATCAAAGTCTAGTCTAGCAACACTTGTAAATTCATCGGGATATAATTCAACAAGTCTAAGTATATTTTGTTTGTCAAAATAAGAAAACTTATCAAGTGGACTCAAAGAAGCCATGCAAGTCAAAACAATTTATATTTGCACAACAATTTATAAGCTCTTTTTGAATTGGAGTGCAATCATTTGACTATTTTTAGGAGTGTTTTTCAAAACAACATTTTCCACATCATCATTCTTTTCCGCAACCCAATTCAAAAGTTCAAGAAAGTTTCTCTTGTTACTTGATTGATCAAATTCATCATGACCATGAAATGCCAATCCTTGAAACAAAAGAAATCTCAAACAATGAAGAGAAGTAGTCAAGCGAATTCGGTAATCACTTTTAGCTTGCTCGGTTTGCTGATTTAAATAAGCTTTAAAGGATGACTTAAAGTTATTTAAATTCTCAAACTTTTGAAAAACTTGATTATGAGCACTATTAATTCCACCAACATGTTTTCTAAATCGAACTAGAATATTCCAACCTCTAAACCCATTAAAAAAAATGCATCCCTTCCTGTAGCTTTGGTAGCTTCATTCTTAAATAAGTAACAATCAAAGCAAAATGAAGCATCTTTTAAAACAATATACTCAAACCAAGAATACTTCTTAAACCAAGATTTATTAAAGCGACGTAATATACCTCCTCCGAATTCCGTTTGGGGAAATTTGTGTTTCTTTAGTTGGCAAGCACCTCTTTCTATGTATTCTTTCCTCATTGCTTCTCGATCCATTGGATGATAGTCAACAATTTTCTTCCTTTGGCCGGATCATGTGGAATAGAGCTAGCATCAACTTGGCTCTCAATTTCCCTTGATGCAAATGTTGTACTATCATCATGTGGAATAGAGCTAGCATCAACTTGGCTCTCGATCTCCATATCCCTTGATGCAAATTCTTGCTCGGCTTGGGTTGTTGAAGGTTGAGTTAGTGATGAGACACAAATTGGTACTTGGGAAGAACTTGCATGATCCTTTTTAGACTTTTGAATAAACCAATCAAACATTCCATTCTTCTTATTTCGTTGAGGTTTAATATCTTCATCATTCATCTTCTCACTACTATAATTACAAAATTTACAAATTACAATAATTATTAATTAAACAAATATTCATAATTTAAATTACACAAATTTAATATAATATTTTTCTCATCCTAAAAAATACATATTCATAATTTCATTTTCATGTATTGCAATTCAATATTCAAATATTCTTCACAAAATCACCAATTGAATCTAAAGTTTAATTTAGTCTGTTAATTTAACTCGCTCAAATTAAAAAATAAATTTTAAAAATTTTAAAACTAAAAAAATAACTTTATTTAAAAGAGTAAGAGAATAAGTGAAGAACCTATAAATAAAAGAGGAGTAACAACTTGTAAGAAACTTAGATGAGGAAGTTCACCGGAGAATAACCGGTGAATGACGCTGAAACGTTGGTTCATACTAAAACAAAATGAGAAAGTGAAGAAATAAAACAGAAACTTGGCAGAGTATAAATTTTTTTATTGAAGAAAAACAAAATAGAAGCTTTGGAATTGAAAGTAAGAAAAGTGAAAAATTAAAAAGGTGAAGAAATGATGATGTAAAAGTTAAAAATAAATAATATTTTAATCATTATAACCTTTGCATTCACGTTAAACAACATAACACCAAAAAAAATGGTTGGGCAACATTGAAGAAAAGATTATGTAAAAGTTAAAAGTAAATAATATTTTAATCAATACAAACTTCTCATGCACTTTAAACAACACAACACCCAAAATATTGGTGTGTATAATTTTCTTTTTCTAATATAATACATTAACTATTGATAATTTTTTAAAGAAAATGGGTATGCATTTACTACCTATAGGATCACGTGGGCCCGCCCTTGCGACAGAAAAAATTTTGATAGTAAGATGAAACGAAACTAAAAAAAAGGTCAATAGAGGGGATTGGGGTGGAGTTTTTAGGTATTTTAATTATTATTATTTTAAATTATATTTAGAATTAAATAAAAATACAACAAGTAAAATATGATATAGAAGATAATTTAGTTGCTAAAATTATAATTTATTTTTTTTGACTTGTAATATCCTCCGCCTTTTAACAATTAAAAAACAATTTCTCTAAGCTATATTATAATGATGTGAGAAGTTTAATGGTAAAATTATAAAAAAATTAATTTATAAAATTGTGTAGATAAATTAAAAATTTTAAAAATACAGTGAGTAAAATAAAAATTATATGAAAATTTAACAATTAAATTTGTAATGTGAGGCAAAAGGACCTTTTTAACCTTATTAACCCAGAAAGCCCACATTTTGAACCTAACTAAGAAGAAGAGGAAGGCAAAGGAAGAATCCCGAGAACCATGGATAGAGAATGGGGCTCCAAACCCGGGTTCTGGAGGTGCGGCCTCCGCCCAAACGGAAGCCATGGACCGCCGCGAGCGGCTCCGTCGACTCGCTCTCGAAACTATCGATCTCGCGAAAGATCCATATTTCATGCGCAACCACCTCGGCAGGTACTAAATTTTCTACTAAAGTTCCCTTCGTTTCACCTTGAAAGTTCTATTTCTTTAGGAAATTAAAATGCTTTATGTTTTTGGGTAGTTACGAGTGTAAGCTTTGCTTGACGTTACACAACAATGAAGGGAACTACTTGGCACATACACAAGGGAAGCGGCACCAGACCAATTTGGCTAAGAGAGCAGCGCGTGAGGCTAAGGAGGCTCCGGCTCAGCCTCAGCCTCACAAGCGTAAAGTTTCTGTTCGGAAAACAGGCACGTATCTTTCAACAACCCTTTGTTCCCTTTTGCAGTTTCTTTTTGTTAGTTATATTAAAATTTTAATAGAAACTTGTCATGGATAACTTCATGTTTTGCATTAAGAATCTAATGCTGTGTGTAGTGCGTATTAGTAGCAGGTTGAAGGGTTGCTTTTGTAGTCTACGATGAATTGAGATTATGCAGAAGTGGATTAAATCGGTTATTTATTGCCATGAAAATGGATTTTGAAGAAATTGAAGTTCAAACCATGTTTTGAGTCACCTAACAATTACATTTGTCTAGTTGTATTCGACCTCTGCTTTAGTTTCTGATGATATGTGCCAGAATTTTACACATCTGTTCATCAAATCTCTATATTTGTTTCATAACTTATGAAAGTTTGCTTATTTGTTATTCTTTGAGTAGTCAAAATTGGTAGACCGGGGTACCGTGTGACAAAGCAATATGATCCGGAGACAAAGCAGAGATCTCTTCTCTTCCAGGTGCATATAATGTACAACAGCAAATGAATTGCGTTATAAAATTATTTGTTTTATTCCTTATATTTATTTTTTGACAAATTAAATGTAGATTGAATATCCTGAAATAGAAGACAATGCAAAGCCAAGGCACCGTGTTATGTCGTCCTATGAGCAGGTTTGGCCCTATATTTCTATTTTCCTTTTGACATCATTGGCTTCTCATGATAGCTTCCCTCTGTTACTCTAATTTACAGTTGCATGTAATTTTGGTCCATTACAAGCAATAAAACCTCGACTTCTAATTTTCCCAAAACGTAAAGTCAAACTCTATTCAATCATAGGTTCTTCTCAGAGCAAACTGTAATATGTCTGTTTATTGTTCATGGATGCAGAGAGTGCAACCATTTGATAGGAGATATCAGTATCTCCTGTTTGCTGCAGAACCCTATGAGATCATAGCTTTCAAGGTAAGTCAATGATATAGCACTTACCATTCTATTGATTCATTTGAATTATTTTTAGAATTTGTTCTTGTATATTTAATTTACCTTTACAGGTCCCAAGCACTGAGATTGATAAATCCACTCCTAAGTTCTTCTCGCATTGGGATCCCGACTCAAAGATGTTCACGGTTTGTTTGTTTATCTCCCTTATACACTCGCCTCTCCTCTCTGTTGACATTAGATGGACTATCCATGAAGCTGGATTTTGCATAAATACATCACTTTGTTTTCAAAATTTTTGTAGATAGTCTCTTAACTGTTTTTTTGGTGCTCTTATAAACATGCAGTTGCAGGTATATTTTAAAATCAAACCACTAGAGTCGAACAAACCTCCCCCTCCTGCAGCCAATGATACTATTGATCCAGATGCGCCACCTAGGCCACCACTTCATACTCCAGCACCACCACCTCCACCTCCACCTCCTCAAGGGCTGCCAAACCCTCCTAGAGGCCTTCCACCTCCTGGTTCATTACTGCCGCCACCTCCTATGGGAAATGGTCCTAGGCCTATGCCTCCTGGCGGCAATCCTATAGCCCCACCACCACCTCCTGGGGGTAGCGTGACAATGGGAAATTTCACTCCTAGGCCTCCAAACAACCCTCCTCCACAAGGTTTTCTGGGTCATCAGATGCAGGGACAGGGTATGCACCCACCCCCTCCACCTCCTAACATGGGACTGTAATTGACCTGGCATCTCCTGCTTTCAATAATTTTTGGTCAGATCAAACCGATAATTTGATTTTTTTTAGCAGAGCAAATACGCCTACTACTGAAAATGTATGCATGTTCGAGTCTGCTTTACTTGGATTTTACATGTTAGTGATTGTATCATTTGCTCAAGAAAGCATTCAATGTTAGAAATAAATTAATTCAAAATCATAAAATAATGTATTAGAGGTAAAACAATGAGATTGATTTTTGTTACTTATGGGCTCAAATCTTAGGAGTTAAAATTTGTCACTTTAGGTAATAGATATGTGGTATATGTCTTGTCTTCATTTTGGATATGTGATATGTGTAACATTATTATTGTGAACACATGATATATGCCACATCATTATTTTAGACATGTAATAGTAACATATCATTTTTCGCATGTGGTAGTGTCGCCTCATCATTTTATACATGGTAGTGTTGCATTAGTGATTTAGACATCTAGCGTGTATTATATCATCGTTTTGGAGGACTTGTCAGCAACAATCAACAACCGTTGGTCAACTAACAATTTTTATTCAATTAAGAGGTATTTTTTTTTCTCAAAATAAAATGTTAAAGTGTTATAAAAAAGAAAAGAAAAGAGATTAAAGTGCCTTTTTAATTAAACATTATGTCTATAATTTACTAATATCTTAATCCTTTCAATGGAGATATTTCTCAATATCCGGTACTATAAAACAGAAAAGTTTTCATTTATTATACAACATTTAGTACTAGATCAAATGTTTGATTTTAATTGAAAGGGTGTTATTCATCTACATTATTGATCTATATTTTTTTTCGGAAAAAATACATTATCCATTAGAATAAAATAATTACGAAGGGAAGATAAACAACTACAAATAAAGGCTTTGTAATATTATTTATGGTGGTGGTTAATTCATTATGCCATATTTTATGTATATAATCTTTATGATGTCCTTATTACAATAAATTTTATTTAATTAAAGTTGTGACTAATTTTTTTAACTAAATAAAATTATTTGGACCATTAGACAAACATTTTAAGATTTTATTATTAAATACCTTATGCAATAAGTCAACTTTTTTATGTACCTAAAAATATATGTAAGAAATAATCAGATAATTTACATACAAAAATTTACTTCATACACATAAAAAATATTTAAATAAAAAAATATTTTTACGACATTGTTCATAACGTAATTAATTTTAAAAAGTATGTTCTAATAAAATCTAATGGTTTTACTTAAAACTTTGTAACAAAAATTCTTCAGTGTTTAAAAATTAACTCAAATAAATATTGCATCATGTTTAGAAATTTTACAAACTAAAAAAAGATAAGGCAGAGAAAAATTATGCTCTGAAATCAAATAAAAGCAAAATGGAGCATATATATACCGAAAAAAAATTAAATATAAATGTCTTCAGTCGATGTTTAAACCAAATACTTAATTTGGGATATGTTTATATGGTGTTAAATATACAAGATCATCGTCAAACACATCGAGTTACCGTTAAATACATCGAGTTTAACTAAAAACTGTTAGATTTTTTAACACTTGAAAACCTTGTGCTTATGAACCCGGAAACTAACCCATTTTATAGTGTGATGTTGCCATTAAAATATCATTGTCCCACCAACATCTCTCTTGCACCACTTTACACGTCCACCATCACTTATGAAAATGTCACAAATTGTAAGCCTAACTCCCAAAACGTGAAGCTGGGGACGTGGGGGCAGCAAACTTACATGTGGAATACGGACACCAACCAACTCAAATGTGGACCAAAGTGTCAATTTGAACTTTTTAAATTCTAGGGGATAAATTTAAATTTATAAAATTACAGAGGGGTGAATACATATTTTCATTAGAAAATTCATAGAAAAAATATAAAATATATGATAATTTTAAGTTTTCAAGGTGACATCGGCCCCCATTCGTCCTCCCCTTGATCCATCTTTGTGCGCAATTCCAACATACTCCAATCTTAGTTCCAATCTCATTTTTTTTTTATTTTTTGATCTAATCATTAAACTAATTATATAATAACACATGTCATTATTAAAATTTGTTTTAAACAATTAAAATGGAAATTAAATATAATTTTAATGGTTATTTTGCAAAATTTTGAATTTAGGTGATTAAAATGATTTTTTTATAATTAGACAATCAACTGTATGATTTCCCTAAATTTTAAATCGACAAAAAAATTTATATAAAGCCTAACTAGATTGTAATTAAAATATTTGCATGTGAAATGCTTAGAAATGTAGATGGATCTATTTAATAAGGCATTTTAGTTTTGTGTAGAAACTATTGTCACATTCACATTAAACCTATTTATTTCATGTATAGTAGTTTGCATATTTTTATTTTTTAAAATTATTTTATTGTCAAATCCTCATTTAATATTTAAAAAATTCACGTGAAAAGTTTTTATAATTCCATATACCGATTGAGAGTTAGTTTAGCAGGGTTTTTGAAAAGTAAATTTTAAAAGTGATGTAAAAGAGAAATTTTAAAAGTGTTGTTTAAAAGTACTGTTTGGAATTGTTGTTAAAAAGTGAGTTTGAAAAGATAAAATGTACATTATAGACCTTACGTATGAGAAGATGAAGTGAATTTAAAATTTGATTGTTTGAGAAATTTATATATGAAATATATCAATTTAAATTATAATAAAAATATATTTTATAATAACACACTATTAATATTTTAATATATAAACCATGAAATTATTTACTTTTAAGTAATTAAAAGCAAATTATTATGCTCATAAGCATAAACACTAGAAGACATGATAATAAGTGGTAGATACATGTGTTGCCTACTTAAAGTTCAATCATTCTTTCACTATAGTACGAGCCCATACTTCCAGTAGTATTTTGCTAAAGGCCTTTCCATGAGTATACATATATTATGTCTCTAACCACAATGTTTATGCATCAATAAATGCAACACTTAATCATCACTCAAACAATATAATAGTATCCGGTCTCGCATAATCGTTACATGCTAATCATACAACAAGTAAGCAACACGGTGTAGTTCAGAGTCACATCAGCTAGAGGTGAACATTCGATCGAGTCGAGTAAAATTTTTGAGTTATTCGAGCTGACGAGTCATATTTTACAACTCGAAGTTGACTTGAAAATTTTTTCGAGTCGAGTCGAGTTTATAAAATTTGAATCGAGTCAATTTTTTGAGTTTTTTTAAATTTAATTATAAATATTTATAATATTATGATATTATTTTATTACAATTTAAAAGGTTTTTTAAAGATCATATACAATACATATATATAACAATACATTCTTGTGTAATTTTTTTATAAAAAAATACAATACATATATATATTTCTTTCATATGTGATATATATATCATACATAATTGAGGGACTCACTCAAACATGAAAATTTTCATCCACTAATTACTAAAAATTTCAAGTTATTCGAGTTGTAATTTACAACTCGATTTGAACTTGAATTTTTTTTAGTCGAGTCGAGTTTATGAAATTAAGTCTTAGAGTCATTTCGAGTCAAGTTTTTTCGAATCGAGTCGAGTCAAAAAATCAATTTTTCGAGTCGAGTCAAGTTTTGCTCACCCCTAACATTAGCATCATGAAACTCACACTCATTTAGTTTACGATAAACATACACACATAAACAAGCATCATGATGTAGTCCGTGGTCACCTCAACATAATGGGGACTTACACCCCTCTAGCCTAAGACATATGTACTCTGGATAAGATTTGGGTCACGAAACATCAACATCTTACATTCAATTGACCTTAATTTCCAAGTACATAGGGTGAGATCTAGGTCATAAAGTATCAACATCTAACACCCGGCTAGACTATTCCACTAGAGTACTCTGGACGTTTTTGGGTCACAAAACATCAAAGCAACATCCAACTAGCATTTAAAGTGCTCTCAGATTGATTTGGATATATTAAAGTATTTCTCAATCAATTGGACGATCGTCACACACATACACAAGTAACTCAAGTGTCCTTATCATTTTTCGAGTGTCAAAAAAGTATAACTCTTATAGAATCTTACCTTATAAGGTTTTTATGATTAATAGACATATAACATTATTATTTCATCTTTATTATCAAGCTCTTGTATAGAGCTAAACGTCTCAATACACATCAACCAATTCCGTGCAAGGGCAATCAAGATAGTTCGACTATTGACTATCGTAACTTATCATAATCCGGTGAGGTAATCTAGGACATTGTGCAAGGTCTTTTTAGTATGTAATATCCCAAATTTTGTATAGTGACCAAAATGCAAATTTTAAAAGTTAATTGGTGAAGTATAAGCTATGGAAAAGTTCAGGGACTAAAACAATAATTTTAAAAGTTGCAATCCGACCCCGTAAATAAATAGTTTACCTCAATAATGACGTTTATATGGGAATCATAATTTTTGTACGGATTTTGTATTAAAAGTTATAAAGCGATAAAGTTTGAGAAAAATATTCGGCAAATTGGATCGAATAGAAATTTCAGAAAATTTGAAGGATGATAAATTAGACTTAAAAATATTATTTCCACATTTTAAAATGCTGGAAAATAATATAAACCATTGGATTTGAGGATTTAATTCTATGTTAAATCCAGATCGTTGGATTAAAGTGACAAGATTGTAATTTTTAGGAAAATTCAAGGGCAAATCGATAAAGTGTGAATTTCTTTGTTCATCTTTGACTTTTGGAAGATGATAAGGTTGAGGTGTCTTGGTTTGATGGTAAATATGAAGTTTCATTAAGGGTAAATTGGTCTTTTCCTAATTAAATGAATTTAATATTCACTAAAGCTTAAATTAAAGGTAAATTAGCATGAAATTAATCTAAAATTTCATGCCAACTTATTCATCTTCTTCTCCATTTTCATGTATTTCCCATTTTTGAGTAATTTCCTTTGAATTTCAAATTATGCCGTGAAATAGAAAATTGTTCTACGTGAGAATCGCTATCTTTTGGTACCATTTATGCTTGTTAATATTCTTTGATTTCAAACATCCCAAATTCTAGGTTTTGTGTTCACATTAGGATTTATGAAATTGATGATGAATCTTGATGTTTTTAGGTTGTAGATTCATTTTCAAGTTTGTATGAT